TCTTCCTGTGTAGTCTGGATATGTGATCTGGGCTCCCAGCTCTCAGTGAGCTATCTTCTTCCTGAGGGAAGGAGTTTGTACCACACATCACTTCATCTCTAGTACCTAGTATGGCAGGTCATAGTAGGGCCTAAATATTTATTGATAAAGTAGCAAAAAGAGGGCAAAGTAGAATCTAAACTTTTAAAGGAAGGGCAGAGGCAGTTGTTCATGGAGGTAATAAGCCATGCATTCCATTTTCTCCCCGTATTCCTGACTCTCCCTCTTCCTCTGTTGCTCTAGGCGAATAGAGACCAACTGTTGTACCTTGGATGTACTGCCCCCTTTGCCATGAGATAAGAAGAACTGTATAGTGCCCAGCTACCATTACTGAACATTTTGATCAAAGATTCTGTAGAAGAATTCTGATCAAAGGGGGGAAAGTACAGAGCAGAATTTCAAATTTTCATGGAATCCAAACTTCCTAGAGCCATTAAGGCTGGATGTATCCCTGAAGCTATTGCCCTGAGATGATCTCTGAACCTTAAACCAAAAATATCCCCTCAAGTCCTCTTTAAACCAAACAATAGTTTAGCTTAATTAGTAAAGAATGTCTGCCTTAAACATTGTGCTCTTTTAAAAAACTATCTATATGGACTCAAACTGACAACAGCAATTAGAAAGGTTAGATAGGAAGATTAGGGGGCAGTGAGTTTATGTTAATAAGACATGAACAATCTGGAAAGGGAGGGTGACAATGGTTGCACAACTTGAAGAATGTAGTTGATGTCACTGAATTGTTGATGCAGAAATTGTTGAATTGGTATATGTTTTGCTGTATATATTTTCAACAACAACAAAATAAAATAAATTATTAAAAAAAGGGGGGGGCAAAAAAATCAAAGAAAGGAATTGTGTGTTTTCCCAAGCAACATGGCCATCAATGAACCCACCTCCTTAATGATTTTGCTCCTGTAAATAATACCCTAATTATGATCTTAAATAATGGGACAGTAAGTAATCATAGGCATAACAAAATCTTTTATAAAAAAACAAAAACAAAATTATTAAGACCAGTGGAGTGTGGTTTGCAAAATATCTCCACTAAGACGGACATTTTCTGTTGTCGCGTCTTTCTGGGATGATGATATTTTATCTGTGTTTTAATTTTAAGTTTCACCCTTTCATATTTCACAGGGTATGCTTCCTCCAACAATTCCAAGTCACAATGATAAACTAATACTTTGGGAAACGTAAATGAATGGTTTTACAGCTCTCTATAAATTCCAAATACTTATTAGGCTATGATATTTCCTATTACCAAGAATTTGTTTATTATATCTCTGTACTAGTATGATTTCACATTTCCTGTTCAATATTAGCTCCACAAACCAAAAAACCAAGACAAACTCATTACCATCAAGTCAATTCTGACTCATGGCGACCCTACAGGACAGAGTAGAACTGCCCCATACGGTTTCCAAGGAGCAGCTGGTAGAGTTGAACTGTTGACCTCTTGGTTAGCAGCCTTAGCTCTTAACCACTGCACCATCATAGCTCCACATGCTTCTAAAAATTATCATAGGTTTCCTTCTGCTTTATCACAGAACCAATCAGAACATTGTGTGGCATTCCCATTTTTAGCCACAAGATGGCCTCACAAGTCAACATTTTGCAGACACGTCGTTTATCAGACTGATGATTTTGACTCCTATTTCTCTGTAATACTTTAACACAGTCTTTTTTCTTTTCTATTTGCAGTGAGAACCAGTAAAAATTAAATATGTTCTTTTTCTTAATTGACCATTCAAAGATGCATTTCATCTTTTGGTTGTTACCATGCTCTTTCATTTACAGATGTTTCACCTAGCACAGTACAAAAATTAATTACACTACCCCTATTCTGTAGAAGTTATTGTTTAATTATCTTATTTTGGAATACTGAAGTGCTTTAGCTTCAAGCTGAGGATGTAGACTACATGGTATACTTACATTGGGAAATTCCATTATAAAATCATAAGCATTTGCTTCCTTTGCTGCCTTCTCAATCTCTTCATCAGTCACATCATCTCGTCCGTATTTGATGTTGTTCCTAATAGTGGTCCCGAACAAAACAGGCTCCTGGCTGACCACTCCAATATGTTCTCGATAATACCGCACATTTAGGGTTCTGATGTCATTCTCATCTACCGTGATCTGCC